GCAGCTTGGTCAACATATGGATCCCCTAACAATGGGAGTAGGGTCTTTCTTTGGCTAAGTTGGCTGCCTCTGGATACCTTTCCCCTAAGCTGCCTGTCAAGTGTCAGTGGGAGAGGGTATGCATAATCCTACTGTAACTTGAGGTGCCAGGATGGGTTGGTACCCATTGGGGGGGCTCGTTTTCTCTGAGAAAAAGAAGTGGGAATGCGGAGAGGGGTGGGTAAGGGTGTGACCAAGAGGAGAGAATGGAATCAGGAGGGGTCTGGAATCAGGCTGTAAAAATGAATAATTTTTATAAAAACTGAATTGGCTTGAGAGAAGTTTATTCCTAGTTCTCAGGCAAAGAACATTTTCTTGGGCTTTTCTATAATACCTAGGTACTAATTACAGTGGGAAAATAGACAATGTAGAATTAAAAACGGATAAATTTTGGAACTTATTTATCAGATTGCTTTCTAATATAAAGAGTGAATTTATGCATCTAATAAGCCTATTTACTAGCCCCTTCACCCCATAATATTGCTAAAACTTGTATTTAATCAGATTATGTACTTTCCTTTGTAAAATAATTTTATTATTACTTAGGAATTTTTCTTACATGAATTCAGGAGTTTAACAGTGTTGTCTTCATGAATTTTCCCCAAACATATTGCTCTTCTTATGAGTCCTGGCTTTTCGTGGCTGAGAGGAAACACTATGACCAAAAGCCACTTGAGGAGGAAAGAGTTTATTTCATTTTACAGCTCTTGGGTCAAAAGTCTTCACTGAGAGAGTAAGGGTAGGAACTCAAGGTAGAAAGCTGGAGGAAGTAACTGAAGCAGAGGTGATGCTTAATGAGCAACACTGCAGAGTGGCTTGTTCTCCACGCCTTGCCTAGCTTCATTTCTTATAACCCCCCAGGACCAATTTGCCCAGGGTTGGCATCACCTCCAGTGGGCTGCGCCATTACCCCAGAGCACGCAAAACAGGCTTGCACACAGGCCAATCTCCTGCAGACATTTTTATTAATTGAGGTTCTTGCTTGCAACATGACATACATCTAGTCAACACAAAACTAGACGGAATAAGCACAGTATGGTTCAACTTTGGGCTCTGCAGTCTGCATGACAATGGCTAGCTGATATGTCTGTGTGTGTGTGTGTGTGTGTGTGTGTGTGTGTGTCCTTGTTCTCTGTCTACAAATGAAAGTGGCATGTCCTTCTGATCATTTTATCATTAATATCATGAGAAATATTTAAAACTTGGTATGGGAAAATTCCAAAGGAACAGAATAGATAACAGATTTCTAGAGGGAGAAGATTCCCATTTTATACAAACAGTCCCAGTGTAAACTGCTGAAGAAAAACACTTCATGATAAAGTATTCCTGTTTTGAGTCTTTTCACCTAGAATACATCTCCGTATACACACTTAGATTTCTCATCCCAGGAAGTACTTAGGGAATATGACACTTGCCCAGGTGTGTTAGGGCATGTGAGTTATTTACTTATTTGTGTAAAATGAAATGCAGGCGCATCATAGCTTAACCACGCGTTTCACACTTTGTAAAGATAAGAGACACATTTACTTTTCTCTTTATCCTTTTGATTTGAGTCTCCAGGCACCATGCAATCACACCAGCTGCCGTAATATACTGACATGACCTGATAGCGAGGGGTGTAACTCGAGGTAGCATTCAGCACATTGAGCTTTCTCTTTATTTGTGGAGCACAGGAATCCAGAATCGTAGAGATAACACGGGTCAGGACTGATTGCTTTGCTTGTTCTTACACACTAGTGTTTCCATATTTACTACTATAACAGTTAACTGCATGTAAAAGCCCTTTTATAAATCATGTGGAAACAAGCAAAATTTGTGGTTAGCATAAAAGGGAAAGTGTGATACTATAAAATGAGTCTCTTATATAAGGCAAAAACCTCTCTCTGCTTATGTTCAGGATGTAAAGAGGCACATTTTTTAAAAAAATTAAACCTTAATCTTAAAGGATTAATGTGTGCATTGGTGTGCAGGAAATGCTTCACTGTAAATTAAAGTTGTATTTAATGTAACCTTCCCAAAGTTAGGTTGGATGCATGTAAAATTCAAGATAATCTGGTGGGTAGTGTAGTTTACTCCAAAAAGTTATGGCCGGATGTATAGGGGCTTAGCCAAGGTCTGTTGCTGCATTCCATCTACAAAATGATATTTCTTGAAAGTGAGCCCCAAGGTGTTGAGATGTCTTTTTTGTTTGAAGAAGTCTAGTAAAATCACACACATACACACACACTCATAATATAAAAATTCACTTCCTCCGAAGTTTAGAGAAAGTTTAATCAAAACTCAAGAGAATTAATAGTTCACAGATTGTCAGCAAATGCTTCATAGAGTGAAGTCTGTTCATATGATGATGATGTCAATTAATGGTATGAAGTATTTTTACTTTCGCTTTTATAACTAATGTTTGGCATACATCAAGAAGCTCTTTGAAAGCCAATTTCCAGCTAATCCAATGTATAGCAGGGCTAAAAGAAATGTATTCAGAAGGTAGGGCACTCCTCAGATCCTCCCCCCAGTTCCCTCTCTTCATTCACTTCCACTGTCTATTCTAGTTCCCCATCTGAGTAAGATTCAAGCCTCTTCCCTACTGTCCTCCTTGTTACTTAGCTTCTTCGGGTCTGTGAATTTTAGTATGGTTATCCTGTAATATGCAGTTAATATTCACTTGTAAGTGAGCACATACCATGTATGTCTTTCTGGGTCTGTGTTTTCTCACTCAGGATGGTCTTTTCTACCTCCAGCTATTTCCTTGCAAACTTTATGATTTCCTTGTTTTTAATAGCTATGTAGTATCCCGTTGTGCAAATGTATCAGTTTCTTTATTCATTCTTCAGTTGAGGGACATCTAAGTTGTTTTCAGTTTCTGGCTATTATGAATCAAGCTACTATGAACATATATGAGCAAGTGTTTTGGCAGTATAGTGGACCATCTTTGGGGAATATGCCCAGAGGTGGTATAGCTGGATCTTGAGGAAGAGCTACTCCCGATTTTCTGAGACAGCACCGGATTGATTTCCAGATTTGCAGACTGATTGGCTGTATAAATTTGTACTGTCACCAGCAATGGAAGAGTGGGATCAGATGTGGGGAGAGTGGGAGGGGAGATGTATGGCCTTGGAGAGAAAAAGGAAACAGGGTGGGGGCATCTCCTAGTCAAAAGGGAGACCTCCCACGGGCTTGGCTTCAGGGAGGATATGGGGTTGACTGGCTGAGCCTCCCAGCAGCAGGAGACGTGGAGACTGAGGAGGCCACCTTCTAGCCAGGCAGGAATGACAGTGGTGAGGGGAACGCCAATCCACCTACAAAACCTTCGACCCAAATAGGTAGGGTAACTACGTATAAAATATGCAGAGATAAAGATAGCGCAGACACTGAGGGAATGTCAAACCAATGCCTCGCCCAACCTGAGACCCACCCCATAGGAGAGAGCCAAACCATGACACCATTAACGATATTCTGCTATGCTTACAGAGCCTAGCATAGCTGTGCTCCGAGAGGCTCCACCCAGCAGGGGATCAAAACAGATGCTGAGACTCACAGCCAAACATTAGGTGGAACTCTCAGAGTTCTGTAGAAGAATTGGGGAAAGGATAGAGCGACCCCGAGGGGACAAGAACTCCTCAGGAAGACAGAGTCAACTAACCTAGGCCCATAGGGGCCTACAGAGACTGAAGTACCAATCAAAGAGTATGCTTGGAGTGGACCTAGGCCCCTGAAACATACACAACTAATGGGCAGCTTGATTTTCATGTGAGGCCCCTAGTAAATGGAGGAGGTGCTTTCTCTGACATGGATTCTGTTGCCTGCTTTTTAATAACTTCCTCCTAGTGGGGCTGCCTTGCCTGGCCTCAGTAGATGAGGACAAGCTCAGTACTGATGTGTTTTGAGTGGGTTGGTGGGGGAGTCCCCTTTTCTGAGAAGAAGGGGAAGGGGATAGGGGGAATAGGGAGCTATGACTGGGAAGTAAAGCGAATAAATAAATAAACTTTAAAAAAACAAAACAAACAAACAAAAACAAAAGGTGAAGCACAGAGGGACTAGCCTTTGCAAAGGAATGTCAAAGCCAAAAACATGGGTAGGAGCAAATTTCTCAGAACATGAGTCTACATTGTCACAATTGTTTGAATTTATTTAGTAAGGCTTATAGTGGCTGAAAGAAAGGGATGTTGTGTGGCTGGTGTGCTTCAACATTGCAGCATCCTTCAAGATTCACTTTTCACCAATTATGGCAGTATGTATCATCGCACACTCGCTCTTCTTCATCATTTACAGAACACGGGGCCGCTGCTAGCCAGTATCATTTTTCAACATTTACCTAGTAATCATGACCTTTCTGGCACTCTTTTGTAAGCTGTACCACCAGCTGTACATTTATATTCAATGAGAAGCTGGCTAGGGAATCAATGATTGATTACAAACGCATGGATTATATGGAAATATAAATATGCTTAGTCGTGTTGGGACTTCATGCAGTAAAAAAAAAAAAAAAAAAAAAAAAAAAAAAAAAAAAAAAAAAAAAAAGCTGCCGTCCATAAATAATGTTCCATGAGCAGAAAACTATTCACAAAGGTATTCTGTAGTGGAAAAAATAAATTAAGTATTTCCTCCGGATAAAACAAATAGTTCTCCTTGTGAGGTGGCCAGGCTCACAGCATGTTAATGAAAAGCAGCTTCTACTGCCTAGAAAGGTAGAGCACGGACAAGCCTTGTAGGAGATGATAATCAGCATGCGGCCCACACTGAGAGATGAAGTGCCAGATTAGTTTGGAAAGCAGAGCCATGTTCAAGGATTAGTAAAACTCGATGAGTAGTCTGGCCTTTGTGGCGCCAAAGGCTGAATTCACTGAATATGGCAGCCATCAGACTGTCAATGCTAACAAAGTTTTAGGTCGTTTATTATCCTGACCTGTGTGTATGGACACACATGTGGAGGTGATTTATCTCATATGTGCATAGACCTTTACCTGTGCATGTTTGATTAGACTCATCTTCATTGCTTCCACAATCATTTGCTCCATCACACAGCCATCTCTTGGGGATGCAACGATTATTCTGGCATTTAAACTGATCATCAGGACAGCTATGATTGACTGTAGGGGAAAGGAAGCAAGTTTAATACAAATTATGAATATTTTAATTATGGTCACAAAGCTATTTCAGTAATTGTAATGTTATATTCTAATAAATGCCATAGCTTCTCTCATTAATTGTCTTAAATTTTGTAGAAAATATAAATATTGTAGGTTTTGTTAAAATATAGCCTTAAAAGAAATGATAAACAGATTAAATGTTGAATGAAAGAAAATATATGCATTCTGCAGTTTCTACTCAAACCAAGTATGTTCCTTAATTTGTTTCTCCATCACTTACCAAAACTGGTCATTTAACTCAGGAATCATTATACATTTGAAATCAACCTCATGGTTCAATATTAAAACAAACAATTATATCTCAAAATAATTATTCACACATATTAAGGTACAGTTTTCATATATATACATATTTACCTATACATCACATTCATTCAAATATTTCTTAAATACATATTTATTTGATATTTATTTCTTAAATAATTATTAAATAATCTTAATTGCACTTTAATTCAGCTGCTCTATTTTGGGATTTGAAGAGAAACAAAAGAAATAAAAATGGATCACTTGTGACATAAAGTTGAAACTAAAAATGAGGTTTTATATACTTTCAATACCAAAGTGCTATTTTATGCTTTTTATAAATAAACATGCAACTAAAAGCACTATTGAAAATGAGAGCAACTATCATAAAGTGGTCTACAGCCAACCCTTAACCCTCCAATATCAAATCAAAATGGGGAGGCTCTTTATATTAACTTCCTAAATGTATTGTTTAGGTTCCTGATGTGTGATCTCCATATTTATTTCACAGTTTCAACTTTTTTTACTCTTTCACATAATGGAGTAGTTGTATATTTTCTAGATAAAACTATATTTTATGTTAATTTTATTTACAATGAGAAAGTTTCTATTTCCTCATTTTGCTTCATATCAAATGTATGCTCTTATAGGTAGGCATTCATAAAGCACATGTTCTTTAAGTATTTATTTTGATAGAATGGTTTGCATTCTTTATGGAAGGATTTCATTTGGGTAAAGTGAAATTTATTTAAAAAACCAGAAAGTCTGCACATTTGATAGTGTGGCCAACAAGTTAGCGGGAAGGGGTTCTGGGAAGAGTTTGAGGGATGGAAAGAGTATGATTAAAAGACATTGAAAGAATTTATCTAAAAAGATTTTTTTTTAAAAAAAAAAAAGAGAGAAAAGATATTCTTTAGTATTTGTGTATGATCAACATTTCCTCTGAGTTTCAGGGATTTTAACAAGTAGAGATGCCCATGAAAAATAAAAGTCATACATATATCAGAGATCAATGTTTTAAAGGAGCAAGATTATGCATGCACACTGTTAACGAAGCTTCTCCATGACCGTCGTGTCAAGTTCAATCATCCTAGACACTAGTGAGGCAGAAACAGGAGGCCTGTAAGCCTTGGGCTTACCTAGTCCACAAAGTGAGTTTAAGACTCTGATCCGCTTCTGATGTCTATCCTGTTTGCCATTCTGAATGAGATTTAAGCATCCTTCCTAGGGTCCTCCTTGTTCTTTAGCTTATTTAGGAGTATAGATTTTAGTATGTTTATCCTGTATTATATGGTTAATATCTGCTTATAAGTGAGTACATACTGTGTGTCTTTCTGCTTCTGGATTACCTCACTCGGGATGATCTTTTCTGATTTCATCCATTTGTTTGCAAATTTCATGATTCCTTTGTTTTTAATAGCTGAGTAGTATGTGCCACAATTTCTGTAGCCATTCCTCTGTTGAGGTATGTTTAGTTTGTTTCTAGATTCTGGCTACTCCAAATAAATCTGCTATGAACATGATTGAGTAAATGTTCTTGTTGAATGGTGGAGCATCTTTTCGGTACATGCCCAGGAAAGGTATAGATGGATTTTGAGGCAACGCTATTCCTAATTTTCTGAGAAAGCACCAGTGTGTTAAAGAGAGGGAACAGCATAGGAGTCTACTATAGAAGGTCCTCTGAAAGGCTCCACTTAGATGCTGAGACTCACAGTCAAACTTTGGGCATAGCCCAAGGAGTCTTATGGAAGAATGGGAGTTGGATAGAAGACAGGGAGGGGACAGAAGCCCCAAAAGGACACCAATAAAGCTAAAATTTCTGACTCCAGGGGATCCTGCAAAGACTGATGCACCAACACAGGACCATGAACGGAGAGGACCTAGACCCCCTGCTCAGATGTAGTCCATAGGCAGCTCAGTCTCTACGTGGGTCCACAAGTTAGGAGAGCAAGGGCTAGCTCTGTCATGAACTCAGTTTTCTGCTCTTTGATCACTTGTCCCTGGTGATGCAGCTTTACCAGACCACAGAGGAAAAGCATCCAGGCAGTTCTGATGAGACTTGATAAGCTAGGGGCAGATGGCACATGAGGAGAACTTCCCCTTTCAGGGGACTAAGGAAAGGAGAGAGGGGAAAAGAGCAAGGGAAGGACTGGGAGGAGCTGAGGGAGAAGGCTACAACTGGAATATTCAATTAATCAATTTTTAAAAATAAAAAGAATCTGATCAATTTCCATTAATAAAGGAAATGTACATTCAACCACAGTTTTGTAGTTATTGGTGAGCTACTGAAATATAAGCAGTGAAGGGATAAAAAAACATTCCAGGGAGAAGTTTGTGGGTAAAATCCAGAATAATTCTGTGCAATAGTTTATGTTTTCAATGTATTATTGACCACAAAATGCAGAAAAAAATGTTATTAAAAGTGACTATAATGTTCAAGAAGAATGCTCTTCTAGGAAGTGGTCTGAGATGTTTTCTCTATACTTTCTGGAGTATACAGCATATGTTCTCTGAGGGCCAAGATCCATTTTTGGAGTTGAGATACCAGATATGATACAACCATATCTCCCAAAGAGAATATTGATCTTTTATTAGGTGGACCAGATAAACATACTATTGTAATATAGATTAAGAACTATTGTAACATAGGACTGTACTGAAGATGGATGTTTAACTCTAACATGTTGAATTATGGTTTATTGGTGGTTATAAGTAATGGCATAAGAAGGCAGTGAGAATCTATATTAAATTTCATAGACTGCTGTCAGTTCAGTATCACAGACAAACAAAGAGAAGAAGACATTTTTTGAAGGGCAAACTATAACTCGACACATTAAGAACAAAGGTAAGTAGATGGATGATAGACTACAAGTTAAACACTTGAGTATATAAATCTAGGTAACTCACATGTCAGCTAACAGTCCCTGCAACTGTTTCCATAAGGACTTGATCCTGTAAGAACTAATTTGGAAGCAATGTGAAAAGTGGGCTTACTTAAAGGAAGAATAACAGGCAATTTCAGAGGAATACTCGTTGAGTTAATTTACCACGCAAGTCTACTTCGACAGGGGATAGGAGACCTCCCAGAAACACATTTATTTATAGACTTGAATAGGGATAGCAGGTGAAAATAAAGAAATAATACTCCAGAATAATAACTGAAGGTGTAGTCAGAATACTAACTACAGGCAATGGTACAAAAATGATACCGTTTTTGCCTACAAAAGAGCTGAGTTTAAGTCAACAAAAAGAACAAGGTATGGAAGAAAGCACGAAGCTGCTGACATGACTTTTATTATTATTATTATTATTATTATTATTATTATTATTATTATTAATTTGTACTCTGATCAGGTACAAGATTCCCATGATTAGGAGTCATAAGTAGAGAGCTACATGTTACTCTGTTATTCAAAGGAGTGGGGCAATTTATTCAGGTATCACTTCACAAGCTATGCGTGTACAACATTAGGAAATATACCATTGGTCATCACAGGAAATGCTCTTACCACTCTAAAACTGTTAAAAACTGTCTAATTTGGTATTTAACATTCAAAGTCCACGCAGATAATAGTACAAATGAAAATGATAAGAGAAGGATTAGAATAAGTAAAAATGAATGGAAGGCCCATGATTGGAATTCCAGAGAAAGCAGCAATGTGTCCAGGCATTAATCACACTTTACCTATAGGGAACAGTGGTTAGAAAAATTTTTGAAGAGTATACTCTTGAGGCCCTTTTTTAATTCAAAGCACAATGTTTATATCACATGATTGAGCAGAACAAGCTGGTTTATTCTTTAAAAACTATTACAAATTTCTGCATTTTAATTTCAAACAAATAAGTGAGCAGTATTAACTCTTAATTATTTCAGTTACTTTAAGCAGCAAAAAGTTGCTATATTAAAATAGTTCTGAAAAACAATGCAGTGAAGGCAAATTTGATGATTAAAGGTTCAACACATGCTTCTCTTTCTTTCTTAGTGCAAATTATTCTTTTCCTCTAAACCATTTATCTAACCAAATGTAATCTCTGAATTTTATTTCATATGGTTTCCAAAAGTGTCTTATATCCTTTCATATTTTCACCAGAAACATGAGCAACAGTTCCTGTTCCAGCAAGCAACAAAAGCTGAGTAGAATGCATGGGCAGGGATATAAAACCTTTCTTTCCATTTTGTATTTTCATCAGTGGCTTGAGCCAGTAAAGCTAGGTAACATTGCAGCTCAAATCCGCGCCAATATCCTTGAATTTTCTCCAAGGCTCTGTTGCCAAAGAGACTTGAAATATGACCTTTTGAACAAAAATTTGGTCTCAAGGGGAGTCAACGTGAGTTTTTGGGAGAATCCTGGAGTGTCCTTTGGAGCAACATCAGACTGTGGTTTATCAGTCTTCTGATAGACATGGAAGAGGATGGGATCGGAGGAGGAAAGCAGACCTTGACAGCCATGCAAAGCAGGTTTTCTTTAGCTTAACTTTAAGGAAAGGACCGCTAGGAAGGAAAATTGAGCCAATTTATATCAAATATATTTTCAGATGGGTTATAGGCTACTTTTGGTTATCCACACACTCACTCAGGAAAATACAGTTTCAGATTATTTGAGGGAGAACGTACAGCAAGTGGCAGAGTCCTCATCACTCCCATCCAGGCAGTCATCGTCTCCATCACATGTCCATCGAGCTTGGATACAGTGTTTGTTTTTGCAGCGAAACTCTCCGAGTTTGCATATATGAAACATTGTTTCTTCAGGATTAACTAAATTAAAAAAAAAAAACATGATGTGTACATAATACTTATAGTTAAGTTCATTGATCTGTAAATCACTGGGGGGTTCAGTTGCTTTAGAGCTCCATAGAAATAAGATCATCTGATGTTTGTGTCCTTTTTCTGCTGGCTTATTTCACTCATTATGCTCTCCATGTTCATCTACAGAGGTAGGTTTCAATTGTATTAAAAGGTGAATAGTGGTTATTATCCACACATACACGCAAACATAGTTTCTAAGCTAACTGCATTGGTCTCGTGGAGAGGGAATGAGGAAGGCATAGGTCAAAGGGGGAAAAACTGAAGAAATGCAAGATGACTTAGAATGCAAATCTAACATGCAACATCAATATAATAATGATGTAGTGGTTCATGCTGGAAATTGACAAATCAGTTGCAGATGGTCTTATCATATAGGTAGTTATAAAAAGGGAACAGAATGATTGATTTATTAATTTGTTCGCTGACAAAAATCAGTAATATATGGCATACATTATATGTATACCATAAAAATGGAACCTACAAATTAAAAAAATATTTCTTAAGATAAAACACATTAACAGGAACCTTACAAAGATATTTTCATGACATTAAGTGAAAATTATTATATTCTACTACAGCAAATAATTTAAATAAAAAATCTGTTTTAGTGAAACAATTCTCATTTCTCTGCAAAAAAAAATACATTAACAGCACTATACTGATGGTCATTGGCTGAATGGAACATTCAGTTTTGCTGACAATAATTATTCTGTTAAAAATATTAAAGTACTACAGAGCAATAGTAATAAAAACTGCATAGTATTGGAATAGAAACACAATGGTGGATCAATGGAACCAAATAGAAGACCCTGAAATAAACCCATACATCTATGGATACTAGAGTTTTGACAAAGAAGCCAAAACCATTCAATGGAAAGAAGACAGCATCTTCAACAAATGGTGCTGGTCCAACTGGATGTCTACATGCAGAAAAATAAAAATAGATCCATATATATCACCCTGAACAAAACTGAAGTCCAAGTGGATCAAAGACCTCAACATAAAACCAGACACACTAAATAGGTTAGAAGAAAAAGTGGGGAACAGCCTAGAACTCATTGACACAGAAGACAACTTCCTGAACAGAACACCAACAGCACAGGCTCTAAGAGCAACAATCAATAAATGGGACCTCATGAAACTGAAAAGCTTCTGTAAAGCAAAGGACACTGTCCTCAGAACAAAATGACAGCCTACAGACTGGGAAAGGATCTTCACCAACCATATATCTGACAGAGGGCTAATATCCAGTATATATAAAAAAACTAAAGAAGTTAAACAGCAAAAAAACAAGTAATCCAATTAAAAAATGGGGTACAGAGCTAAACAGAATTCTCTGTAGAGGATTGAAGAATAGCAGAGAAACACTTAAAGAAATGCTCAGCATTCTTAGCCATCAGGGAGGAGATGCAAATCAAAACGACCCTGAGATTTCACCTTATACCCATCAGAATGGCTAAGATCAAAAACTCAAGTGACAACACATGCTGGAGAGGTTGTGGAGAAAGGGGAACCCTCCTTCACTGCTGGTGGGAATGTAAACTTGTACAATCACTTTGGAAATCTGGCATTTTCTCAGACAATTAGGAACAGTGCTTTCTCAAGAGCCAGCTATACCACCCCTGGGCATATATCCAAAATATGTTCAAGTACACAAGGACATTTGTTCAACCATGTTTGTAGCAGCTTTATTCTTAATAGCCAGAACCTGGAAACAACCCAGATGTCCCTCAACAGAGGAAACGATAAAGAAACTGTGGTACATTTACACAATGGAATACTGCTCAGCAATTAAAAACAAGAAAATCATGAAATTTGCAGGCAAATGTTGGGATCTAGAAAAGATCATCCTGAGTGAGGTATCCCATAAGCACAAAGACACACACCGTATATACTCACTTATAAGTGGATATAAGATACGATAAACATACTAAAATCTATACACTTAAAGAAGCTAAACAAAAGGAGGTCACAGGGTAAGATGATCAATCCTAACTTAGAAAGACAAATGGGATGGACATTGGAAGTAGCAGAAAAAAAGAAACAGGAGGGGAGCTTACCATAGAGGTCCTCTGAAAGACTCTACCTAGCAGTGTATCAGAGCAGATGCTGAGACTTATAACCAAACCTTGGGCAGAGTGGAGGGAATCATATGAAAGAAGGGGGAGGGTTAGTAAGACCTGGAGAGGACAGGAGCTCCACGAGGACCAAATATATTTGGGCACAGGGGTCTTTTTTGAGACTGATTCACCAAGGACCATGCATAGATATATCCTAGAAGCCCTGCTCAGACATAGCCCATGGCAGGTCAGCATCCAAGTGGATTTTCCTAGTAAGGGGAACAGGGAGTGTCTCTGACATGAACTCAGTGGTGGGCTCTTTGACATCCTCCTCTCCCTCCTCCCGCCGCGTAGGAGGAGCTAGTTTGTTAAGCCACAAAGGAGGACATTGCAGCAAGTCCTGATGAGACCAGATAAACTAGGGTCAGATGGAAGGGGAGGAAGACTTAGAGAGGGACAGGGAGGAGATGAGAGAGGGAGGGTGGGTTTGGGAGGGAATGAGGAAGGGGGTTACAGCTGTGATGCAAAGTAAATAACCTGTAATTAATATAAAAATAGGAATTATATATAAAAATATTAAAGATTTATTTCGACCAACTTGTCTTGAAAGAAAACCAACCCATTCCCACTTTCTGTTGTGCTTATAGTTCCTTTATTGTTCATCTGGTTGTTGGAATGGAAACCTTCACTACAGTAAATCATTTTAGTGTAAAAAAAAATCAACTAAGATTTAATCACAGTAAAAATGACACAGAAATAAGACAAAGTTGGTGGCTTTATTTCCTTTGCTAAACTACATTACGCTAATGTAAAGTGTTTTATATCTGGGAACTGAGTGTTTGGACTTTCACTATAATTTATCAAAAACTGAAAGTATTCCTATTTCTCCATTTTCATTTAGTGGATTATACATAAATATAACAGAAAGGAATCCATGACAAAGGCTGAAATATGTGATTTGTGTCTTGTGGCCTGAAAATGGCCTTGACTAACTCAAGCTGACTTCTTGCTGGGAAAATCTTTAATTTCTATTCTTATGGCTTTAAACTTCATTTCTCACAAGTCCTGTGGGCTACTGAACTGACAGGAAACTTGCACATACCTTACTCACAAGCAGAATCAAGAGAAAATATGTGGAACCTCCTCATCCCTAACTATAGCATTGCCTTGGTCTGTGTTTCTCCTTGCAACAAAAAATTGAAAGGAGAGCATGACTTTTGAATCATGCCTTCAAGAAACTGCTTCAGAGTGATGCAGTAAGGCACAAGGCTTGGGGGACTGCAGAAATAGAAACAAAAGATAACCACAATGGTCCCAGGCTTCATTTTGTGCCCAGAAGAATCACTGTAGTGGATGAAAATATTCAGCATGAACAAAGGTAGTTCTGGTTTTTTCTGTCCATCTCAGTTATGCTAACTGTACTTTGACAGACAGGAGAATCTTTCCTATTGCTTCTCAGTAACAAAACAATAAAGCAGTTGTTTCTCTCTAATGTAATTTCTGTTTTTTAGAAACAAAAGGCTACTGAGTGGAAATACAGGTTGGAGTATGAAATCAAAACAATAAATAACAAAGACCAAAGCACAAACAGTGGGTAAGCCTAACCTCTTGATGGAATCCTCACACTTTATGCTTCCTTTTTCAGATACTAATCATTTAAAGTAGTGCTAATATTCCCCCTACCTCTCTCCATGGTGTCTTGTGCCATCATTCACGTGCTCTTGTTCTAGATTTATTTTCTGAATATGTTTGACACTGTAGATAGAAGTATTGTATGTTGGGCTGCAGAGCCTTTATTTGGTCAGTTAGTTCGTTGGGTTTTGTTTTTAATCAGGAGAGTGCAGATAAAACCTTCCTTAAGTGAAGTGTGGAGAAGATTTTCTAGCCAAGTCTTTTTAAGATCTGTGTTTTGAAGAACTCAACATCTGACATGAAGAATCACTGTATTTGCAGATTCTGCTTGAATTTCCCTATATATGGCTCATGGTTGACTTGAGGGGAACTCAAAAAGAACCAACAAAAACAAAGAGTCTATGCTAGCTGTTTTGTCCTATGTGTTTGATGTGTGGCTCATATATCATATCATCAATTACAATCCAGAAATCTCTTTTATGCCAATGAACAATGTTATATGATAACCAAAATGAAATCCCAGATATATTGTTGTTCTTTGCATAATGATAAGGGGTGTTTTTAGATATTGAATTTATTTTTTTTTAATTTTAATTTTATTTTTATTAATTACAGTTTATTTAGTTTGTATCCCAGCTGTAACCCCCTCTCCCACCCCATTCCAATCCCATCCTCTCTCCCTCTCCTTCTCCTATGCCTCTCCCCCAGTCCAATTATAGGGGAGGTCCTCCTCTCTTTCCATCTTACTCTTGTCTATCAGGTCTCATCAGGACTGGCTGCATTGTCTTCCTCTCTGGACTGGTAAGACTGCTCCCCACTCAGGTGGAGGTGAACAAAGAGCCAGCACATGAGTTCATGTCAGAAATGGTTCCTGTTCCTATTATTGGGGAACCTACTTGGACACTAAGCTGCCATGCGCTACTTCTGTGCAGTTTTTCTAAGTTATCTCCATGCATAGTCCTTGTTTGGAGTATTAGTCTCAGAAAAGACCCCTGTGCCCAGATTTTTTGGTTCTGTTGCTCTCCCTGCGGAGATCCTATTACAGAGTGCCCCTGAAAGATTCTACCCAGCAGGGTATGGCGAGATTCATAGCCAGGGAATCTTATGAAAGATTAATTTAAAAATCTTATGAAAGATTTAATTTTCATTTATTTTTTGGCATGCTAGTTTGGTCAAAGACTATAATATCTCTGCCTTCTAAGAAGTAGGCTCACACTTGGCCACCACATACCTATCTGGCATTTATGTGGGCTCTGT